CCATTTCTTTTTTTTTTTTTTTTAGGCTCAACTTGGTTAACGAAAGGAAATACTTTTTTAGGTAAAGTGTTTGGGAATTAGACTCATGAAAGATGGCCTTTGATCCTTGAGCTTCTCACTTGAGATCTCAAAATGATGACGATCATTCAACTTAAATTAGCAAGATTTTCTCTCTTTTTTCTCTCTTTTTTTTTTTTTTTTAAATCTTTGTTCATCATTTTCTTCTTGTATGAGTGTATCACATTTGACTGCAACTTTGGCCTTTTATTTTGTAACATATCAATTAGTTTAAGGGAAGAATCTAGATCACCATCATCTTCCTCAACATGGATTTGGATCATTTGAAACATATACCAATCATAAAATGGCATCATTGTATTCAGATTCATCATTAGCAAAACCTAAAAACAAAAAGAAATATGGATAAACAATAGCATGTGAGGAAAGCATAGATATGCAAACTGAAAATTTTAATTGGCAACCGATTGCAAACGATTCCTTTTCATTTTCGTTTTTGTGCTTTGCACTCGCTCATCCCCAGAGTCTCCGTACTTTACTTTGTTCAATATTATTGTTGAATCTTTAGGACGTTTAAGTCTTAAAAAAAAAAAGGGAAAAGGTCTCAAAATTCAATTCCTAGATTTGCTCCTTTGTCATTTCCTCCAGCACTTTTGTTCCTTCAACTTCATTCCCGACATCTTGAGCCTCCACAAGATCAACCAAAGATGATGCAAGTTCACTCTCTTAAAATTTTTGATATGTTTAAACCGTATTTATGCAAAATCCAAGACACTAATTAAAGATTTCTTTTTTTTTTTTTTTGGTAAAACACTAATTAAAGATTTCACTAGGTCATTAATCTTCAAATCCCATTTCCCTTAACATAAAACAGAGAACAAACTTAACAAAAGGCACAAAGGGCAAATTAGCCCCTGTACTCTTCATCTCATGACAATCAGCCCCTTAATTGAAAATGATGGCAAAGGAATCCTCAAACCCTTGAAATGGTGGCAAATCAACCTGTTTTAGACGAAAATCAATTTAACTAACAAAGCACGTGTTTGGGTGAGATCTAGGATGATGATGTAACCTTCCATGTCCAGGTGTCTTAATGCTACATAATTTTAACATTATTAATTTAGAAATTTTTACAAAAAAATAAAGAAATACTTTATTTGTCTTGAACTAATAATTATTTTTTTTTAAATTAAGGATTTGGATAATATTTGTATTTATTTATAATATTTTAAAAAAATAAAAGAAATTTTTTTAATTAGATGATTAATTAAATTAAATAAATAATAATAAAGTTAAAGTAAAAAAAATATTTGTTTATGCTAAAATATAAAAAAATGACAATTAATTTGAGATAAATTTTAAAATAAAAAAAACAATTATTTTGAAATGGAGAAAATATTAAAATCTATTTTTTAAAGAAAAAAATCAAGTATCCATATTTGCTCTTACTTAAGCATAATTATATGAAATCTTAATATTTTTAATGTTAAAATCTTTTGAGTTTTACTTTATTTTCTTGTAAAGTTACACATTTTCACCTATAATTTCTAATCTATAAAATTTTTTTCTCACACTCTTTAGAAGGAAAATGTTCATTCTAGACTTTTATCATGTAAAACTCACTCCATAACTACCTTATTAATTTTTTATATTAATTTTTTACCAAACATTAAAAAATAAAAATTTGATAAAATTTTATTACAAAATTTATTAATTTTTATACGATATTTATTAACTTCTTATATAATATTTTCTTAATCACCTTTTCAATAAAAACTTTTTTAATAAAATTAAT